GGGAGGAAAAAAAAGTTCGGTGATAGTCGTGTGCTTATCGTATTAAGCGACCGATATTTAATCTGGTAATAACGCGCAAATACTATTATCGTTAAGCAGCTATTTACTGGATAATGTTAAACATAAGTAAATCGAGATAACGGTATTCTAAATAAGCGATTATCGTCCGTATCGAGACGGGCGACGACTTAACGGGGAGACGAGAAGAACCGCGAATTATCGCCAAGGGGAAAAACGAAAGTGAAAAGCCGGATGGGTCGGTCATTTTCGTGTGTAGGCCTCTCCGTGATTAGATTCGGATGCGTACCGGTGGACAAGTCCGACCGCTAACAGGTCGCTTACAGGCTGTTCTGGAATTCGCCGTTCAGGATCGAGGAAGATGCGATTTCTCGCGCGAGCGTCGACGATTAATTCCCGACGCGTTTTCGGGAGTACACTTGGATCTAAACGAAACGCTTCAGTCTTCTCGCGACCGTCGAGAGCTCCGCAAAATGTAACTTCGTACAAAGTTATTTGTTCGAGTTTGATTTTACATTATTCCCTTTGAAACCTCCACTCGCTTTTCCTTCATGGTGGCCTCGAGAGGTCTCCGTGCACTTCTGCTCGTTTGTTATTTGACAAATAACGTACTCCGAGCAATCGGAGCAAAGTGGTTCTCATTTGGTAAAACATGTTAGCACGTATCGAATGTGCCATGTAATTTACTCTAAGAACACTTTCGTTACATCGATTCTCTTGAAATGTGATCCGTGAGCTGAAGTTAAAATGATTTCGTCAATCGTTCGCTCGAAAAAAGGACAAAGAATGCTGTTACGCCAATACGATTCTTCGGAAATGATTAACGTAAGATTGTAAACCAATGGCTTTACAAAAGCTACGTTCGGCTAACGGGATCGATCTGTTCATAATTAATTAATTATCTCATTTATATAATATATAAGAAAGTAAGTACCTGTAAGAAGTAAGAAATAAAATCAGTCGTAGAGTTCATTTTATTACACTTATATCATACGTGAGTAATGAATCATATAAGCCGATATTAAACAAATATTTATATTAGGGTGTAATCGACGTTAAAGTATCTCTATATGAAAGCACAAATATACATCATCGAACGATAAGAGGGAGATGATTATGAGCAGATCGAGAGTTTTCATTCTTCCAGAATTGCTTTAGGCCCCTCCAACTTTGGATACAGCCAAATACAAGTGCAATCGTTACCTCGACGCATTTACAAAAGAAAAAAAGAACTGATAAGCCAAGCAATTATCAAAAAGAAAGAGACAAGATAAAATTAAACATTAAGTAAAAGAATTTAACAGATTAGAGAAGCGTCGTCGTCTTTTATCAGCCACCGGCGCCGTTGCTACATTTCGATCGATCGTAACGATATGTATCGCGATGATGTATTATAGATTTTCCGCGGTGATTGCAAACAGGGTGTTAAAAAATTCCAAGTTCGATCGGCGATAAGCCGAGGCTAATTTGCGGCGCGACAGGGCGGATCGTGACGCCGATTTGCTTCGCGACGAGAAAGCTCGCGTGACAAAATGTTATTTTCCACTTTCGACTTTGCATCGCATTTCGCGAGAAAGCGCAGCCGAGGCACCGCGCGCGACATTCGTACGCGAGCATTATTTTAAAGTGGTGCAATTCTCTTTGTTTCGGACGACGAGGTCGAAGCCGAGGAAACGGCGAAAGCTTCGCGAGTGGAAGGAGCTTCCAAATCAAAGTTTTTATCAAAGAGGCCTATTAAGTGGAGGATATTTCTTCTCGTACTCCTGAATTTTTGTTTGCTTCTTCGAAGTTTTTAATCGACTACGATCACATCTCTCAAAACGGAGGATATGTCCGCCGAGTTTTCCCCATGAATGACATATCAATGAAAGTTTTTGGTCGACGATTACGATCCGGCTGTGACGTTCGACGAGCAAGCGGCGGTCGCGGGTGAGATGTATAAAAAAGGAAAAAGAAAACGAAAGCGTTGACGAGTCGCTGTGACTATGACGAATTTTAGTATCGAATATAAAAATAGAAGGGAGCAATGACGAGGTTCGATCTTCTCGTGTATTCCGTTCTGCTTGATGTCGAGGGTAGTGAAGAAGTGTAGCGCCTATACTCTTTCCAAGTGTTTCTTCGAATTCAGCAAGCCGGAACTCGCAACGAAAGTTACGTCTTCGTCCTGAAAGTCTCGCAGATCGCGATTCTTGTTCCATTTAACGTCCTTTCTTCTTTTCTTTTCTATAGTCCGCACACACATAAACACACACACACATACACACATCACGAGTTATGCCCACGTAAAGTCCTACTCTGTGCGCGTCATAACTGCTAGGAGTAGCGTACGAGCTATATAGACTTAATCCTTTGCACTTGGTGGACGTCGGTGTTAGGCGAATAATATTTTGTATTGTTGTAATCTAGTTATTACACCCGAGAAACTCTCAAGTCAACGAGTATGTTGTAAATACATATTATACTGACGTGTGAAATCGACGAGTGCTCTCGTATGATTCGTTAGAACGTTGTCGCTGCCGGAAGGATTATATAACACCGATCTCGAATTCCAGGACTGGATCAGGAATATAACAGATACAGTTGGCACAACTATTCTAAACAGGATTAACCTTTTACTTCTTCCTTTTAGACAAAATTTATGCGAGTATTAACGGGTCTTGTGCTTTGAAATATTTTTTGAACATCGTCTTGGTGTTTGAGATATATCTCTTGAAAAGCAGTGCGGTGATATTTTTTATTTCGTTTTTGTGAAACATACTTTTGTGTAGTATTTTACTCAGTTCTGGAGTCGAGAATGATATCTTTGACAAAGAATTCGAGAATCTCGCATCTTCTCGATCCTTTGCTCGCGCTTACCTCTTCCCCAAGTTGCTCAGATACGGCGGGAAAACGCGGAGAAACTCTAAAAAGAAGGAAATTAAGAGAAAACAAATTTTGCAAAAAAAAAGTGAGAAAAAGAGAAAGAGCACTCGAAGGATTTGAGCATCCGTTCGTAAGTAGTACGTTCTCGAATATAATAGTTAATAAAGCGTCGGGGCGAAGAGTATTTTTTCTAGGAATGTTAGTGGACCATATGGCAGCAGGAACATTAATATCGTAAAATCGCGGCGAATTTCATAATTTATAAATTGCAGGAAAATCCAAAAAAAAAAAAAAGAAAAGAATGCAAAATTGAAGCTGTAAGAAACGGAGGAAAATTACGCGTACGGGGAAAATAGAAACGTCGGCCATCAACTAAGGGGAAAGCAGTGGGACTTGTGAGGCAGTTAAATGATACTTGATAGTATAAATGCAGAGTTGGTGCAGACAGTAAAAACTTTTTTTAGACGTCCCGGAGAGAGAAAGAAGAAATGAGTGAAAATGAGAGAGAGAGAGAGAAAGAGAGAGAGAGTGTGTGTGTGTGTGTGTGTGTGTGTGTTTTAGTGAAAGAGAGAGAAAGAAAGAAAGGAGTGAGAATGTATGTAAGTAAGAAACTAAAGAAATGAAAGGTGTAGGGAGAATGTGAGAGTGAGAAAGAAAAAGAGAGAATGGAGAGAAGTTGAGAAAGAGAGGCATTAACAGAGGTAGAAAAACAATATGAAAACGATAATATTATAAGCAACAAGAAGTGCTTTTATGAAATACAATATTATTTATACCATCCTGATGACGTATATATATATATATATATATGCATATATATATATATGTACAATATATATAAATATCTATATCTATATACATTATATCTATATATGGTAAGTGATAATGTAAGAAAGAAGAATGTGTATTATGTAACAACAAGGTATAGATAAGTATATTAATATATTACAAATACACATATAAGTATACATATAAATATACACATATATATTAAAAATTATGACCTATTATGACTATGATAATATTATTAATATTGTAATAATTCGTAGTATTATATTGTGACTAGTACAGCATTAAGTAATAAAGGTTGTCCTGTATGTGAACATGGGTATATTATCAAAGGTACACGTATTGACTTGGTAACTTTCCGCACCATACTTCCTCTTTAGTTTCCCTTTTCTACATTATATTTCTTTATCTTTGTTTATTTTGCGTTATATTTTCCTTTGATTTCTGCCAGCGGTGACGAAGGACCTATTAAAACAAGCGTGAAGTTATAAAGGTAAGTTGCGCTGTTAAAAGTTTATAATCGATAAAATTAATAATTTATATTAAAAATTATAGTTTTTTCTTGGATAGTTAACCAGTAATATATAGCTCGATAGTTTGACCTTGCTAGTAATTAAAAAATACGAATTGCATAATATAGGTGCATTATGCTTGTTTATTTCTATAAAAGCAGATACGTCATTGTATTGTTAATTATCAGGAATACATTTTTGTCAAGAACGATTGATAGATTGATATGATACCGATAGATGTGTTATCTGTAGATTTTTGTAGTAAAAACACACACGTCGGCTGTATAGATAAATTGATGGTTACGCATAAAATTGTAATCGTACAGTTGCACAAAACCCTCAATCAAAGAAAAATATAAATAAGATATTACTCAAAATCACGTAAACGTATGCAATAATAGTACTGTATTAAAATAAATTGAAAATTTGTGTATTTATTTTATTAGAAAAATTTGCAATGTTCAAATAATTGGTATCTAACTAATTGACCCTACTATACACATTTGGACAAATTAGTGATAATTGTTTTGTTAAGTTTCATAGGTTTTATTCATTAGAAATGTTAGTTGCGATAACCTTTCTGATACTGATACTGATTTCTGAACTGATTTGTCTTTGATTTATCTCTTGACTTGCTTTATCGTACAAACAGACATGTGACTTATCTTTTCCTCCTGATAAATTTTTAATTTCACTTTATCTCGCTCGTTGACAATTAAACTAGGAGATAAGATCATTAGCAGCAAGAGAAACAGAGAGACTCCGCAAGAGAAGAAAAACGGAGATGCTCTATCGAATCTCTCAATATCGCAAAAGCAAATTCATGCGACAAACCGAGTTCATACTCGATCCTGATTGCATAACCGTGTGTAAGTAACGTTATAATACAACCTTACGTCATTTTCACGCGTTTACGTTTCAAGTAAAACGACACGTGCAGAGGGGCATCGTCGTATTGAGCGTCGGTCCGTTCTTCTGTGATGACCGATGTTGCGCGAGCACGAATTCATAAGCCGTATATAATAACCAAGGTCTGTACGGTCGTGAACAGTGAAGTGATACACATCAATGATGGAGAACGGATCGTTCGTTAGCACCCGGTCTCCCGAAGGTATGTAAAATCTCCAAATAAAGTCCCCCCGTTGCATTAAAAAAAAAATTCTTTTGCAGTTCCACTGTCGAAAAAAGTAAAAAAGTTATTTTTTCAATTCGTATAATATATTCTTTTACGTCTTAATCTAAAAAAAGTAATTATTACATCGCTATTTTCTTTCTAAAATTTATTTACTTCTGATTAAAACACGATGCAAGATTTGCTTTGAGATAAAAAACTTTATATTTTATATTTTATAATTTTATTATTTAATTTTACAATCAAATTATTACTTTAATTATGTTTTATACCGGCAATAGAATGAATAATAAGATAAAAGTGATCAGCATCACGATGACAAGAATTTATTATAAAATCGCGCGTTATTTTGATTACTTATTACTATATATGATGAAAAACCGTTTATAAAATTTACAAATCGTGGTTTTGTAAGCTAATAAAAATTTGATCTTAAAAATTGATTATTGCTCTTAAAAAATATATATAAAAGAAGATTAATAATTATAAATCTCATAGCTTCCGTATAGCCACGCAAATACAGAATTTTCGCATTAAGTGAATAAAATTTAACCTTTTCACTACAGTGCTGGCACAGCTAAAAGCATTGTCGACAGACGAAAAATTTATTCAAACGACGTTTGCAGAAAATTTTGTAGCTCAGCGATATGTGAATATATCACGCGATTACTGTTACTATGCTACGTTAACAGGAGCATTTTGTCAATTAAACGATAAACGTGTCGGGTCGAATGTACTTAGGGATTTAAAAAGGTTTTGAAATGTCAAGAATAATTATCGTGCAAACTTGAATCTCATTATCACATCAGTAATCTAAATTCATATCTTCAGAACTATCTCTTTGACGTAAACATAGTCAAAAGTGATATTTCTGTGGTTGTGTTTATTTCTGCCCGCGTAAAATAAATAAATGTTATGAAAAAGAAGTTGTTTTCGATACATGTTCTTTGCAACGTAAGAGATCATCATGACGGCGGATTTTAGCGTAAATATAAGTCTCCAAACAGTTTCCGAGGGTTCTTTAATAAAATCTTATTTATGCAAAAAACTTTTTTATGTGTATTATATTATGCCTTTTTCGGATTGCATGCTTATTTATAATTTATCATAATAAACTATTTACACTATATTATATAAATATATTAGCATCAAAATTATCAACGTGGAATGTGTTATTTAAGATAAAGCTAAGTTATATATATAAACACGTGGCACGAGATACTGTCATGTCTCTTGATAGCTTTAATTGACTTTAATTTTTGGAATTTGGTAATTGTCAGGTTTATAATTATTTACATCCGTAGCGAAGATCTAAATTTGCAACTGCTTCTTGCAAACATTGCATCTTTGAGCAATCACGTTTTCTATTAAACTTTTGACAATTTTATATAGTCTATACTCTCCCTATCTCCTTAATAATTTCGTAATTGCTTGTAATATAGTTATGTAATTTTTTATATTAAATATTTTGGTAATTAAGAGCTTAATTAAACTGTTATTGAAATAAATATAGTTTGAAATTAATCGAAAAATTATAATATTAAAATGAAGATATAGAGGAAAGTCCCCTATTATGAGACACCACATCTATTTTGCGTGATTGCCGAAAGTTCATGTGCAGAATTTAAAAATGTAGTAGGCGAGTGCACGCGCGATCGATTAATGAATTTTCCACTAAACAGGTTTTTACTTTAAGGGCAATAAGTTCACGATGAAACCAGCAGATAAAATCTACTAGTTTAGCAGAAACCTCGCTATCGCATAATTGGGGACTTTCCTCTAATAGTTTAATAATACAACGAAATGTTTTCGAATTAATAAAAACATTACAATTAAATGACGAAATGTATTCGAAGGGCGTAGCAAAGACTTTGCACAATTTCAAGGATCAGTTTCTACATCTTGCTAAAATATATCACATCATTGTCAATTTTCTTATGACTATAGTTTATTTCGTTACTAAGCACATGCTATAAATAGGGTCAATTTAATTTAGGTATCGCGACCATGAACTAAATATTAACGAGATTAATTATGTGTCATTGAACAAATACATATACGGATGTGTGTTCTAATGCAATGCGTTTTATCTTATCTCACATACTTACTTCGAAAGTAAAAAAATTAGAAATATTTGTAATGTTACCCGCAAGTTTACACCCCAAGAGAATTTTTCCTCATCTCTCCAGGTGATATTATTTTGACATGTTTACTTTTCAGACACGATAAAACAGTTCGAAGCTTATCTGAGAAAATATGAAAACGATGACAAGTTGGTGATTCTGGAGGCCGCGGAAAGGCCAGGGTCAAAGCCCGGCGACAATTACATGTCGATTATGATCAGAACGAAAGTCGTCGGCACACGCGGAGATGGAAGTCGTTAGTCTCGTTACTTTTATTTTTAGTTTTACGTTTACAAGGACAAAAGAAAATTATCGGTAAAACCGGTAATGTTCGATTCAAAACTGAATAATTTTAATTGACGTAACTTCACAATCACGTTAGAGATAGAAGAAGACCGAACAATGCTGTTTTATTAATTATTTTTATATTAATTCTGAATAACGTGATATATGAAGAAAGCATATCTGTTACCTATATAGAAATAAAAAATCGTGTCTCTAGTTTTTGTCTAAATGGAGTAAATATATTTTTCAATATAACAGAAGCTTATATTGTAAGCTTATAATGGTAAAGCGTCTATTATTACTAGTTCTTAACATACAATGTTTAGAAATAGTCATATTGAAAATTTTTATAGTGCCTAATTTTTAAACCCAGGTACAGCGTGTTATTGGCAGTTGTACTACTAAACATGTTAGTTAAATTACTTTATTAAAACTTAATAAATTAAGTTGTTACGTTTATTTTATATTTAAAAAAATATATTGTTCTCCTGTTTAAAACTTTAGACCTTGTTTCCTCTGAATTTATAATAAAAATGGAGATACGATTCATTGGCTCGTATTCTCAGTTCAAACGCGCTTTTATTGATAAAAGCGCGTTTTTATTTCTGAAATGCTATAGTGTATGTAACGTGAACTGTAGCATCTCAGAAATAAAAGCGCGCTTTTATCAATAAGAGTGAACTGAGAATATGAGCCTTTATCTTTAAGGTACATATATATTTTATACTTTTATTAAAAAAAAAAAACAGTTATTTTACAGATAACAAATATTAATGACTCACATTGTGTATTTGATTACCATTAAAACAATATTATGGATGGAAGTAAATTTTATTAATTCTTTTAAATTTTATAAATTGAATTTGTCTCATAGTTCAATAAATTGTATCTCTACTGATAGTTTTGTGAAATCTGGACATATTGTTTTGATTAAAATTATTTTTTTGTATTTATTTATATAATATGTAGAAAAAATATTAGTATACATGAATATATGCATACATGGATACGTTTCTTGAATTTCTTTCCTTATTTGTGCACAGCATACGCCAAGACTTTTATGACAAAGAAGATCCAGGAGAGCAATATTTCCACATTGATGGATCTTTCCGATTTATTCCGTATGGAGGCACATGCTTATACAAAAGTATTGCCCATTCTTGGACCTTTTGGCCCTCGATGTGTACATGCCGATCAAAACACTATAATAATGGAAGATTTGGCGGAAAAGGGATACGTTACCTGCGAGAGGCGTAACTTACTCGATTTGGATCATACTGTCTTCGCCTTAAAGGTACGTTCCAGCAAATAATTCGATTCCGGAACGTGCACTGCTTATCTTATCCCGATTCTCTGTGATATAAAAAAACGCAACGGATAAAAAGGATAATAAATATCAGAGGATAATACTAACTAATGTATTATCTATTAACTAGTATTATCTATATATAGATCGAGATATAAATAAATTTAGATTTTTAGAGATATTTACATTTGTACAAACACACGTTTTTATTTGCCTGAATTTCACCTAAATATTTCACTTGAATTAATAGCATACTTTTTTTATATTCTCCGTAGAAACTTGCCAAGTTACACGCGTCGGCTCTAGCTCTAAAGATCAATGATCCGCGCAAATTTGACACGTTGAATTTGAATATAGAAGAAATAATTTACAAAGACAATTCTCAAACGTCGGAAATGAGGAAATGCACCGAACTATGTGTGAAGTCGATAGTAGAATATTTAGATAAGATACAGCCACAAACGCAGGAATTGCAGACTATTAGAAATTACTTTACCACCTGCATCGACAGAACTTACGACGCGATGCGTCGAATATTCACCGCACCGAAGAAAAAGTATGACACGATCTGCCACGGTGATCCGTGGGTGAATAATTTACTCTTCCTGTATGACAACGATGGCAGGATAATCGACCTAAAGATGGTAGATTACCAGATAATCAGGTATACCTCGATCGCCACGGATATCCTTTACTTCATATATAGCAGCGTACGATCGTCGTTGATCGAGAGGAGTTTCGAGAGCTTCATCAAGATCTATCACAAAGAGTTTCTCAACGCACTCCAGCAATCGGGCGTTACAGACGAGAAGATTTTGGCGGAGCTCAGAATGGAGTGGCTGGAATCGGAGTTGCGAACTTACTCGTTTTACGGACTGCTCATTGGATGCTTTTTGATCAATCCGATTTTGGCGGAGGAGGAGGACGTTCGGAAATTTCAAACGATTGAACTTGGTGTGATGAATCCGGTGTATCAGGCCGACACAAGTTCCCCGATGGGCCAAAAGAAAATCGATCGCGTCAAGTGCATGGCGCTTCATTATTACAAGAGATTTCATTTGGGTATTATTAATGACGATATCGAACCGATTACTGGTTAGTACTAAAATTGCTCGGAGATTACGATAATGTTTATTGTCTAATCGTATAATATTATCGTCTAATGAATGACAGTAAATTTTGGTGTTTACCAGGAGTAAAAAAAGCAATCTTAATTTATAATCCCGTGTTACGTGGATGTAGATAAAGCACCGATGTGTACGAAGAAAGAGGGAGTTTATATTATATGTATTTTATACCGAAAAATATAATTATTTTTAGAAAATTATTGAAGAATATTCTTTCTATAATTACTTCAAACTTTATCGATTCTCGAATGTAATAATTAATATAAAATGAAACACACATAATTAGGTATGATTGATATTGTACGTGATCATACGTGAGAAATTAACTACAGTTTCAAAAATAATCTTAAATTTAAACTGTTTTACCGAAATACCTCGATAAAATATGTTTTTAACACGTATTAAATAATTTTTATAATGTACGTATATTGTTCAAATATATCTATATTTTTTATTTTTATAAATGATAGATAAACTAAACGTGTTGGGTCGAATGTACTTAAAGATTTAAAAAAGTTTAAAAATGTCGAGAAAAATTGTCGTGTAATTTTGAATTTATCATATCAGTAATCTAAATTTATCTTTTCAGAATTATCTCTTTGACATAAACATAATCAAAATTGATATTTCTGTAATTGAATGTTGGTTTCTTTCCGCATTGTAAAATGAATAAATGTTATGAAAAAGAAATTGTTTTTGATGCTCTTTGCAACGTAAGAGATCATCATCACAGCGGATTTTAGCGTAAATATAAGTTTCCAAAAAGTTTTCGAAAGTTCTTTAATAAAATCTTATTTATATATATGCAATAAACTTTTTTGTGTACTATATTAAACCTTTTTTCGGATTACATGATTATTTATTGTTTAAGTTAGATAATTTATTATAATAAATTAGTTGTTTATCATAATATATATTTATAGCCAAGCTATAAACAAGTGGCACGAGATACTGTCATATCTCTTGATAGCTTGACTTTGATCTTTGGAACCTGGTAATTATTAGGTTTATAATTATTTGCATCCGTAGCGAAGCTCTAAATTTGCAACTGCTTCCCGCAAACATTGCATCAAGATTTTTGAGCAATTGCGTTTTCTATTAAACTTTTGTCAATTTTATAGTCCTTGCTCCCCCTCATCCAGTAATTTCGTAAAAGCTTGTAATAAAGCTAGGTAACTTTATATTAATCTTTTGGTAATTGAGAACTTAATTAAACTGTTATTGAAATAAATATTGTTTGAATATAGGTAATTGAACAATTATAATATTAAAATGAAGATATAATAATACAACGAAATGTTTTCGAATTAATAAAAGCATGGCATTACAATTAAATGACGAAATGTATTCAAAAGGCCTAGCAAAGACTTCAAACATAATTTCAAGGATCAGTTTCTACATATCTTGCTAAGACATATTACATCATTGTCAATTCGTTTACGACTACAGTTTATTTCGTTATTTTACATTATAAGGACATGTTACAAATAAGGTCAATTTAATTTTAAAATTAATCGAGAAATTATAATATTAGAGTAAAGATATAATAATATAACGAAATATAATTAATAAAGACATCAAAATTAAATAACAAAAAGGAATTCAAAAGGCAAAGATCTTGCATAATTTTAAAGATCAGTTTTAGTTTCTACGTCTTGCTAAGACATGTTGCATCATTGTCAGTTCGCTTATAACTACAGTTTATTTCAGTACTTTACAAGCACATTACAAATAAGGTCAATTTAATTTAGGTATCACGACCATAAATGTAATGTTACCCGCAAGTTTACAACCCAAGAGCATTTTTCCGCATTTTTTTAGATGATGGATATTATTTTGACATGTTTACTTTTCAGACACGATAAAACAGTTCGAAGCTTATCTGAGAAAATATGAAAACGATGACAAGTTGGTGATTCTGGAGGCCGTGGAGAGGCCAGGATCGAATCTCGGCGACAATTACACGTCGATGTTGATCAGAACGAAAGTCTTCGGCACACGCGGAGATGGAAATCGTTAGTCTCGTTACTTTTATTTTTAGTTTTACGTTTACAGGGACAAACAAAAATTATTGGTAAAACCGGTAATGTTTGATTCAAAACTAAATAGTTTTAATTTACGTAACTTAATAACTTCACAATCACGCTAGAAATAGAAGGAGACAGAACAATGTTGTCTTATTACATATTTTTATATTAATTCAGAATAACGTGATATACGAAGAAAACATATCTGTACTTTAGAGGTAAACAAAATGGAGTAAATATATTTTTTAATATAACAAAAGCTTATATTGTAAGCTTATAATGGTAAAGCGTCCATTATTACTAATTCTTAAGATACAATGTTTAGAAAAAGTCATATCGACAATTTTATAGTGCTTAATTTTTAAACAAGGTACAGCGTATTATTGGCAGTTGTATTATTAAACATATCAGTTAATTACTTTATTTTAAGAACTTAATAAATCAAGGCGCTACTTTTAATTTAAATTTTAAAAATATATTGTTCCCTTGTTTAAAACTTTAACCCTTGTTTCCTCTGAATTTGTAACAATGGATGGACATACGACCTTTATCCCTAAGGTACAGATATATTTTATACTTTTATTTAAAAAAAAGAGTTATTTTACAGACAACAAATGTTAATAACTCATATTGTGTATTTAATTACAATTAAAAAAATATTGTAGACGAAAGTATAAATTTTATTATTTTTTTTAATTTTATTATTCTTTTAAATTTTGTAAATTGAATTTGTCTCATAGTTCAATAAATTGTATCTCCACTGATAGTTTTGTGAAATCTGGACATATTGTTCTGGTAAAAATTGTTTTTTTTTGCATTTATTTATATAATATGTAGAAAAAATATAGTATACATGAATATGCATACATAGATACGTTTCTTGAATTTCTTTCCTTATTTGTGCATAGCATATACCAAGACTTTTATGACAAAGATGACAAAGAGAGGGAGCAACATTTCCGCATTGATGGATCTTTCCGATTTATTCCTTATGGAGGCACATGCTTATACAAAAGTATTGCCCATTCTTGGATCTTTTGGTCCTCAATGTGTATATGCCGACAAAGATACTATAATAATGGAAGACTTGGCGGAAAAGGGATACGTCACCTGCGAGAGGCGTAACTTACTGGACTTGGATCACACTGTCTTCGCCTTAAAGGTACTTCTTTCAGCTGATAATTCGATCCCCGAACATGCACTTCTTATCTCGAATTTCTGTGATGTAGAAACACAACATATAGAAAGGATAACAATGACCAAGGGATAATATTTATCCATATGACTAGTATTACGCATAGATTGAGATAAAAATAAAATTTAAAGATTAATTAACGGGATTTGGAATTAATCAAGTCGGTAATTTTAAAACTATATCGATTTTCAGATATATTTACATTTGTACAAACACATGGTCTCATTGGTCTAAATTTCACCTAAACATTTCAATTAAATTAGTAGTATATATCTTTTATATTTTCCGCAGACACTTGCCAGGTTACACGCGTCAACTCTGGCTCTAAAGATCAATGACCCGCGGCAGTTTGACACGTTAAATTTGCATCTGCAAGAAGTAATTTATAAGGATGACAGTTCAAAAACGTCGGTAATGAGATGGATCACCGAATTAGCCTTGAAGTCGATAGTACAATATTTAGATGTGATACAGCCACGAACGCAGGAATTGCAAACTATTAAAAATCATTTTGCTACCTACCTCGACAGAACTTACGACGAAATACGCCGAATATTCACCGCACCGAAGCAAAAGTACGACACGATCTGCCACGGTGACCCGTGGGTCAATAATTTACTCTTCCTGCATGACAACGATGGTAGGATAGTCGACCTAAAGATGGTAGATTACCAGATAATCAGGTATACCTCGATCGCCACGGATATCCTCTACTTCATATATAGCAGCGTACGATCGTCGTTGATCGAGAGGAGTTTCGAGAGCCTCATCAAGATCTATCACAACGAATTTCTCAACGAACTCCGACGATTGGACGTAAACGAGAAGGTTTTGGCGGAGCTCGGAATGGAGTGGCTGGAGTCGGTGTTGCGAACTTACTCGTTTTACGGAATGATCAGTGGATGCATGTTGGTAAATACGATTTTGGCGGAGGAGGAGGACGTACAGAAATTTGAAACGATGGACTTCGACGTGATGAATCAGGCGTATCAAGCCGAAACAAGTTCGGCGAGCACCCCCAAAAAAATCGATCGCGTCAAGTGCATCGCGTTTCATTATTACAAGAGATTTCATTTGGGTATTATTAATGACGATATCGAACCGATTTCTATTACTGGTTAGTACTAAAATTGCTCGGAGATTACGATAATGTTTATTGTCTAATCGTGTATAATATTATCGTCTAATGAATGGCAGTAAATTTTGGTGTTTGCCAGGAGTAAAAAAGCAATTGTAATTTAATCCCGTGTTACGTGGATGTAAATAATGTACCGGTGTGTACGAAGAAAGAGAGAGCTTATATTATATGCATTTTATATGAAAAATATAGCTATTTTTAGACATTTATTAATAGAATATCTTTTCTATAATTACTTTAAACTTTATCGATTCTCTAATGCAATGTTTAATATAAAATGAAACACACATATGTAAGCTTTGATTGATATCGTAAACATACGTGATCATCGGCTGTTTTATTGAAATACCTCAACAAAATGTATTTTTAAAACGTATTAAATAATTTTTGTAATGTTCAAATATATGTTTTCGATTAAATGATAAAATATACGTGTGGGGTCGAATATACTTAGAGATTTAAAAAAGTTTAGAAATGTCGAGAAAAATTGTCGTGTAATTTTGAACCTATCATATCAGTAATATAAATTTATCCCTTCAGAATTATCTCTTTGACATAAACATAATTGAAATTGATATTCCTGTAATTGAATGTTGGTTTCTTTCCGCATTGTAAAATGAATAAATGTTATGAAAAAGAAGTTGTTTTTGATAGATACTCTTTGCAACATAGGAGATTATCATCAATGCGGATTTTAGCGTAAATATATGTCTTGAGAAAGTTTCCAAGAGTTCTTTAATAAAATTTTATTTATGCACTAAACTTTTTTATGAATATTGTGTTATACCTTTTATTCGAATTGCATATGCTTATTTATAATTTATTATAATATATTATTTATAATTTATTATAATAAGCTAGCTTTACGTCATATTATATATATTTGCATCAGAATTATTCATTTGAAATGTGTAATTTAAGATAATAAGTCAAGTTATGAACACTTGGCACGAGATGTCATGTCTCTTGATAGCTTGACTTGTGATCTTTGGAACCTGGTAATTGTCAGGTTTATAATTATTTACATTCTTAGCGAAGATTGGCAACTATTTCTCGCAAACATTGCATCGAGTATTCTTAAGCAATCATGTTTTCTCTTAAACTTTTGACGATTTTATAATCCATATACTCTCCCACTCCTTTAATAGGTTCGTAACAGCTTCTAATAAAGTTGTGTAATTTTTTATATTAAACATTTTAGTAATTAAGTGTTTAATTAAACTGTTATTAAAATAGATATTGTTAGACATTAGTTGAAAAATTATAACATTAGAGTAAAGATATAATAATAATAACGAAATATGATTAATAAAAGCATTAAAATTAAATGACAAAATGGCTCGAAAGGCATAGCAAAGATCTTGCATAATTTCAAGAATCAGTTTCTACGTCTTGCTAAGACATATTACGTCATTGTCAATCTGTAGTCATTCGCTTATGACTACAGTTTATTTCGTTACTTTACAAGCACATGTCACAAATGCGATCAATTTCATTTACGTATCGCGACCATGAAGTAATATCTAGAGATTAATCATGTGCCATTTGAACAAATATATATATGAGTGTTAGTTCTAATGCAATTTATTTTAGCGTTTTATCTTATCTCACATGTTTTGAAGTAAAAAATTTTGAAATATTTACCCGCAAGTTTACACTTCAAGAGCATTTTTCCGCACCTCTTTAGGTGATACATTATTATTTTGGTATGCTTAATTTTCAGACACGGTAAAACAGTTCGAAGCTTATCTGAGAAAATACGAAAACGATGACAAGTTGGTGATTCTGGAGGCCGTGGAGAGGCCAGGGTCGAATCTCGGCGACAATTACACGTCGACGTTGATTAGAACGAAACTCGTCGGTACACGCGGAGATGGAAGTCGTTAGTCTTGTTACTTTTATTTTTAATTTTACGTTTAGGGTTAAGGATAAACAAAAAATATCGGTAAAGCTGGTAATGTTTGAGTCAACAAAACAAAGTAATTTTAATTTACGCAATTTCACAATCACGATAGAGATAGAGGGAAACAGTTGTCTCGTAGTTTATTGTATCTCCATTGATAGTTTTGATAGAAATTTTATCTATATTCTTTTAGTTAATATTGATTTTTTATACTTATTTCATTTGCAGAAAAAATAATGACAAATATAATGTACATAAATGTGCATACATAATTACGTTTCATAAATTTCTTTCCATTTTTGTGTACAGCATATGCGAAAACTTTCATGACAAAGATGATCCCTGATGGCAAACTCTCCACATTGATAGATCTTTCAGCTTTATTCCGTATGGAGGCACATATTTATACAAAAGTATTACCCATTCTTGGATCTTTTGGTCCTCAATGTGTATATGCCGACAAAGATACTATAATAATGGAAGACTTGGCGGAAAAAGGATACGTCAACTGCGAGAGACGTCACTTATTGGACTTGGATCATACTGTCTTCGCCTTAAAGGTTCTTTTTCCAATTGATAATTCAATCCCGGAACGTGCACTGCTTATCTTATCTCGATTCTCTGTGATAAAAAAAAACGTAACGGATGAAAAGGATAGTAAATACCAGAGGTGACGATAATAACTGATGTATGATATAATTCACTAGTACTATCTATATAGATCGAGATGGAAATGAATTTAGATTTTTAGAGATATTTACATTTGTACAAACACATGGTCTTATTTGCCTGAATTTTACCTAAATATTTCACTTAAATTAATAGTATATATTTTTTATATTTTCCGCAGACACTCGCTAGGTTACACGCGTCGGCTCTGTCTCTAAAGATCAATAACCCGCGGCAGTTTGACGCGTTAAATTTGCATCTGGAAGAAGTAATTTACAAAGACAATTCCGAAACGTCGTTAATTAGGTCGTGCACCGAAACACGTTCAAAGTCGATAATAGAATGTTTAGATATGATAGAGCCACGTACGCAAGAGTTGCAAACTATTAGAGATCACATTGCCACTTACCTCGACAAAACTTACGACGCAATGCGTCGAATGTTCACCACACCGAGGCAAAAGTACGACACGATCTGCCACGGTGATCCGTGGGTCAATAATTTACTCTTCCTGCATGACAACGACGGCCGGATAATTGACCTAAAGATGGTAGATTACCAGATAATCAGGCATACCTCGATCTCCACGGATATTCTTTACCTCATATACGGCAGCGTACGATCGTCGTTGATCGAGAGGAGTTTCGAGAGCCTCATCAAGATCTATCACAACGAGTTTCTCAGCGAGCTCCGACGATCGCGCGTAGACGAGAAGATTCTGGCGGAGCTCGGAACGGAGTGGCTGGAGACGGAGTTGCGAACTTACTCGTTTTACGGGCTGCTCGTTGGATGCTTTTTGATAAATCCGATTTTGGCGGAGGAGGAGGACGTTCGGCAATTGCAAACGATTGACTTCGATGCGAGCAGTCCGCTGTATCAAGCCGACATAAATTCGGCGAGGAACCAAAAGAAACTCGATCGCGTCAAGTGCATCGCGTTTCATTATTACAGGAGATTTCACTTGGGTATTATTAATGACGATATCGAACCGATTTCTGTTACAGAATAGTACTAATATTGCTCAGAACAATCATGATAACGTTTATTGCCTAATTATTGTATTAATGTTATTGTCTAATGAACGGCAGTAAATAGTGTTTATATACCAAGAGTAAAAAAAACAATCGTGATTTTATCTCATGTTACATAGATAATGCACCTGTGCGTACAAAGAGAGAAGTATTATGTGCATTTAATATCGAAAAATATAGCTATTTTTTTAGAAAATTATTGATCAGAATATTTTTTTATGATTATTTTGAACTTTATTGATTCTCGAATGTAATAATTAATATAAAGTGAAACACACATAATTAGCTTTGATTGATATCGTAAACATACGTGATCAGAAATGAACTACAGTTTAAAAGATAATCTTAAATTTAAGTTATCTTATCGAAATATCTCAACACAATGTATTTTACGTATTAAATAACTGTTATACTGTATCGTTCAAATATATATATTTTTTAAAAAGGGTTCTTATAATTATTTCTTATGCAATGTACTATGCGTTTTGAAAAGTTTATGGAGACGTTGCGCACAAATAAAAATAATTTAAGAAATCGTATCTTAATGCGTCGACGGGACATAAAGGTGTAATTGGTATAATTTACATTGACTCTAAGTTGCATAAACCATTTCTTAACAAAGCCGTTGAGTAATGATGTTCTAAACGGTGATTTGTGCAAACGGCGTCTTTCTCACAACACAATTTCGCCGTCGAACTCGTGCCGAAATTTATCCGCGACGCCCATCTATTTCATCGCTGCGGTATTATTCCATTATTTCATAGCGATATTCTACTGTGATTATTGTTACCGACGAGACCGCATTACAGACATCCTCGGAGTGAGGTAATCCATGATGTTTATTAGCCTCATTATTTTATATTACGCGAGTGAAGCACAAGTTAATAGTGCTCATTTCGGTAAAATCCGCTTAAAAGGTCGTAAAAATGGAATCGCGGTCAAGCGATATCATCTTTATCAGAATTATTTCTATTTGCACGCAGATTATACACGTACCATATACAATATATAAATTTATATCGATTATAATAATGACATATCAGCGCTGGTCACAAGCATCCCGCATGATTAATTAATCTGCACAAGTTTAATCGCTACCTTTAAGAATCAATTGAGAAAGAGGACGTAAAAAAAAATAAATGTCCAATTGAATTTTGTGTGTAACCAAGTGCCTGAATACAACAGAGAGGTGAAAGATCAACGGAGAAAGCGGCAGTAATATCGAAGGTTAAATCATCAGACGCCGTAAACCTATAGGACTTCGTGGTAAAATTAATCGAGAGGCGAGGCGAAGTTCTGTCGTTTGACTAGGACGGATGCCCACGATAAGTTAAGGTGTCAGTTTCGCAGCTTGTGCAGCGGGCCAATGTCCCAGGGCGTGGGAGCGCGTGTCGCTTAATTGCCACACTCTTCTCTTCTTGTCCCACCGCCACCGTCGTCGGCGCGGTGTGTTGCATTGTTCCGCGCACAGGCACGCGGAAACACACGCGTGTAACACCGAGAGGAATATTAAAATGCCGGAAGGACGCGTTCTCTCGCGCCTCTCGGCGTTACGTCGCTCCTGCCTTACCCTATTGTTCGACGACGCCGTGCCGTCGTCGGTGTCCTGGGGCCCGCGTGTGGTAGAAAGACATCGATAAGGATCCACGATCTCGCCGGCGGATTAAGGCCCCGGCGACGTAACGTTACGTTGTCCCACACCGAGGAATAGGAACATTTTTAGAAAGTACGAACATCGACGTTGGGCGATTATTATCTTCGTTCTTAATTCTCGCTTGCAAGTTGATCCTTTTTTTTCTCTCGCCACGTTTGTCGATCCGTATTCATTGTCGCGCGGAACGATAATAATTGAATATGATTCGCGCGGCGGCTGTAGCAATTTTGTTCAACGACCGCAGAATATAATTCTTAATTTCATTAATGAATTTTTCGGTCACTGGCACGACGGGGTCACGATTTCTGGCATTGCATAAAGATTAATGAAGTTTGTAATTACAAGCTGATAATCAATGGACTTCGCTCAATTAATCGTTATTTATTTACATGTCCACCAATCTCTTATAAGGAATTATCTTCGATGAAGCGCAATGTTTTATGTACCGAATACGCACTTGCTATATTTCTCTTTTACGCAATGCGGAGAAATCCCTTTTCAACAACTGTCTTTCCTTGATCCTCCTTCATCTGTCGTTCTTTCCGCTCTCTTTTATCCCTTGTCGACAAATTTTTCTATTTTCCATCTTTGATACTGTTTTTCTTTCTTCGATATTGCTTTTGCTTCTCCGTTTTCCTTTTTATATCGCCGTTTTATTTCCCCTATCTTCGACCTCCTTGTCCTCGTTCCAATTTTTTCCTTTGTTCTTTTACCTCGTCTAATTCTCTGCAACGTTTCGCCGAGAGATTCTTCGCGAGTCCTCTTCCACATTCCTTTCGGCTTCTCTTTCTTTTTCGATTTTTCTTTCTTTTGCAGCGCAATCCCTTCGTCTCGTATTCCTTCTCTTCGATAAATACTGACAAAAATAACTGGCGGTAATTAGCATGCGATTTTCTTGCTTCAATTAGAATGTTAATTCACGATTTTCTTGCTTTAATTTAAAAAATTAGATGTTAAGTTATACGCAATTTATAAAAGTTCTGGCTATTTCGTAAAGAATTCTAGTTCTTGCTACGTTTGCAAGAATTCGGACGATTAATATTCAAAGCGATAAAAGCAAACATGAGAAACTTTAGGCACTCTTTTAGTTTTTGTGTAGAAATTTGCAATTTGTAAGAATTGGGTCAGAACGATTATATTAAGTTGGCTAATGCTAATTGGAGATGTAAAATATAAATACCAATCGCGGAATGGAACGAAATAATCGAAAGGCATGGTTGATTATTTAAATACATATTAATTAGTTATTAATATTATTTATTAATACAGTTTATTAATAAATAAACTATAAATTAATTAAATTATTAATATAACTCCTTTATGTATAATATTGAATTGACCAATCGTATTATTATTATTTAATATATTCATTAGCCGTTAATTTGACTCGCGTCGTATCGCGCGGTACCAGGCTGAAGTTGCCGGCGTCTTTGAATTTCGCTATTTAACGGAACGTGAGGGGGGGGGGGGGACACGGGAGCGGGGAGACGAGAGTCGGGACGGGTCGGCTTCGGGACGAGCGGCGCGCGGCGTCACGTCTCGTTCGATTGGTAAGCAAAACCCATATTAACCCTGCCATTTATCGCTTATCAATACTTAACTATCGCGTAATATATAGTAGATTCGGCGCCTGTATTCGATATTCTGTTAGAGTGCGCGATATTTCACACGACTCGCAAGTATTTCGCAAGGCTCGTCCGGCCGAAGAATCTATCGACGAAACGATCGATCATATTTTCGGCTATCGCAATAAGTGTCGCGGATATCGGTCTGCAATTTCGACTCGCGCATTTATGTATAACTTGCGTTATACATAAATAATTGACAATGAGGCAATAACCGCGCCATGAGAGACTATTACCGAGCGTATATTATTTGTCGCGCATTCTAGAAGTGCGTTCGAGAACGCACGAACGCGAAATTAGGAGCAACAGGTGTAGCACGTAGCGTCGCTGCGTCACTCTCGGTCGCGTGAAGTTGCCCGCGCGTCCTCTCCGCCATCTCAGACGCGTTCACGCTTCACTTGCGTATCGATCGTCGCCGTTCGCCGGTATCGAACGCACTCGGCACTCCGTACTCGTAGTTTACTTAGGTACTATTTTTCCGCTTTCGCGACGTGATTAACTGCGTGTCGCGTGCGATTAACATTGAGCGCGTCGTGCAAAGTGCCGCGCGCGATCGTTGCGTTCGAGTGATTAGCGTGCTTAATTGTAACGAACGTGTGTTTTCGCGAACAGATATGCCAGTGTCACGAAGAAGTGGCAACGGATGAAGGGGAGGAGGCCAGGGGTAGCGGCGGAGCAATCACGACTATCGCGAGGTGAGCAATCAGAGCAATGTGTGAGCATTTCATAACCTGTTTCATTATTCATATTACTGATGGATCAAGTAATCACGTTCGTTTGCATAGTAGAGATCCATTGATGTTGATCGCTGTATAATATATAATGATGTAATATATAATAATAATAATAATTGTGTAATATATATATAGCATATTTTAGATTATTAAAAATTCTTAATTAAAATTTTTCTCTAATATTAAAAAATTCGAAAGAATTCAGTAAAATATTTATTAGTAAAATCTTTTATTAAAATTTTTTTCTAATATTAAAACTTTTAAAAATATTTAGTAAAATATTTTTAATGTAATATAAATAAATATATATGAAATATTTCAAAAAGATTTTTAATTGTATAAATTATATCTATTAATGTTAACTGTATAGAATTTTTCTTATCAAATTCATTCTTTTATTAAATATTTGTCCAAATTATAAAAAAATTATGTCTCGCACGCAATAATTATTCTTTGATTTATTTTGGATACTGTTTTTATTTGAATATATTTGTACATATTACAGATCAATGCAGTACGTGTTACAACTGCGCTGTTGTGCATCGTATCCGGTAAGTAAATAAAATAAAATATCTTAAAAAAAAATTAAAAAAGATATAAATACATATATATAAAAATATTGTGATAAAATATCTTCTTATTTATAATTACATAGTTATAAACTGCTTGACATCTGAATTTACTAATTGTTTCTATGTGATTATACAATTATATATAAAAGATAAAAAATTTATATTAAGCTTATAAGAATATTATTAATATTATATTACAATTATTAACGTTACATTACAGATAATCGTAATATTTTATAGATCCATTATTTCATAATAAATAAGCCAGGATAGATTAAAGATACATTATTTAATTGTAGAATATTTACTATTTGCAATTAATTTTTTTTTATTAACATTTATAAACTTTCTGAGTCGAAATATTGTAATTTAAATATAATTTCTGTTTTATGAAATGAGCTTTTAAACGAGCCTAAGATCAGCTCGCTGTGATTTTTCTGCGCATAGATTGATTATATTATTATATTAATCGCGATCACGATTTAGCAGCGGAGTCGGCCAGCGCTCGCTCGCGCTTCGATGACGACGTATTACGTTTCAAAGAGCTTGTACTACGTGTTTTTAC